TCCTCCGACCATCTCCTCACTGTCCTCATGGTCGCAGGATTGATGGCGTGCTGCCGACTTCCACCTTTGAAGAATATTAAAGTATTGCAGTTAAAAGCAACACTGCTGCTTCGATTAAGACGAGAAAGGAGCGCTTGTATTAAATGTTAAAAAATCCAAACTCATTACCTCCGCCAAGGAGGTTATGTTTTGGGCGGTGTTGGTCTGTTTGTCTGTTTGTTTGTTTATTTGTCTGCAAAATAACTCAAAAAGTTATGAACGGATTTTGATGAAATTTTCAGGAAAGGTGGATAATAGGACAAGGAACAGATGCCTCAGCAGCAATTCCAATTTCTAATGAGACAGTGAAAATAGCGCCATCTGGTGGCCGGAAAGCACGTCTTGTTCTACTTGCTAAATATTGTTGTAATTCTAAAGTTGAAATTACTGTTGTGTGTTGGAAAAAAAGAAAGTGAAAAATACAAAAAAACATATTATATTCTGTGTTGGTACAAATAAAGATGAAATAAATGCACCACAGTGTCTCCATGGTGAAGGCATATATAATCTAATAATGATAGTGATGCAAATAACCTAATTGTGATGCAGGCTGCAAAATCTGATGCAGAGGGGGAGGGAATATCACCTACTTGGCGGAGGTCTGCAATCTCTGAGTGCTTTTCTAGTTATATTTTATTAAGTAGCAGGAGGTATGATAGGGACTATGCTCCAGTGTTAATAGATGGAAAAGAAATCTCTCAAGTTTCTTCTCACACTCATTTTTTAGGCACTTTAAGCCCCGTTTGGCGGGGTTGTTGTCACTCACTGCTCCGTCCAGCACTCGCTGTATTTCCTCATCAGCGGTGACACAGATGGAAGTCTGCACCTGGTTTATCGTCCACAGAACGAGGCTGCACGCCCACATTTTCACAACAAAATAGAACAGGCTGCAGTGAGAGTCTCTCTCCATGGGATATTTAAAAATAGCAGCTTTGTGCATTTAGTCCTTCTCAGGCAAGCTCAGGGGTTTAGTGTTGCTGTAGCCCACAGGAAGTGAGGATTAGAATATATGACCTTCACATAATCCGCTCCAAATTAATCTATATTTTTAAAGTCATTACTAAAAGTGTGTGTCATATAAAAACTAAAGTGATGGTCAAAGTTGTCACAGTGAAATTTAAGGTGTGCTGATGGATTCACGTCATCAACTCATGCATTGAGTAACATTACAAGTTAACGTTCCACCTTAAAAGTTGCCGGCAGTCGGCCCAGTGAATGAAGTTATTTTTTTCTCTTTCATTTTATAGTTGTAGTTTACTGATGTATGAACAGAGGTTACATAAAACCAGAGTGAGCGTCCTCTACTGACCAATCAGACTGCAGGGTTTCTAGCTCCACCTTTTAGTACCAGATCTGTGTGCTAGGTACCCCAACAGAGGGGGGACCAAACATGGGGACGCTAAGGAACGCTTCTGTTGGGACCATCCACAACTTTTACTGTGTGGGAACAGAGAAAAAATGTGACTGAACTGAACGTTACTGCTCGGTGGAAATGGGGCTTAACTTGCTCTGATCTTCAGGGTCAGTGTCTGCTGGGAGCAGCCCACACTGAAAGCAGAGCTGCAGCTCCTGCTGTCAGCATGCAGAGGTGAGAAAACAGGGGAAGGGCGTAGCAGGCCCTCCTGTGTGATGTCTGACCTCTTCAGAAGTTCGGGGCAGGAGAGCCCATCAGAGACTCAGGAGAAAGAGAAGAAGTTTCTCTCTAAGTTGGCTTGGTGACATCACAGAGTCAGATGTCACTGTGACAGTAGTGCCCAATAAAGTTTGAAAACTTTGTCTGTGGGCCAATCTCTCACTGAGGTTTGACAATGAGGCACCCTGTGGAGACAAGAGACTGTCTTTTGTTTGAAGAACAGAGAACATGGGGTCTCAGCCACCATTAGAGATGTTACACCCTGAGGAAAAACCTTCACACCTCCAGTTTAGATCTTATCAAAGATAAATCATCTGAGGTCCAGTGAATCCCAACAAGTTCTTTCATCTACTTTTCTCTGTTTTTTGTCATTGTCTGTTTTTCTCCTAAAGTTCATGGGAGGTCTGTTTGTATACGTCTGTGGCTTCTTCACCTTCCTGACACATTTCCTCCTCTCTTCTTGTCTTCTTTTTGTACTACTTGGATTTTATGCAGTTTCTGGTGTGTGCAAATAATAATTAAAAAAAAAGGCTAATCATGTGAACTCCTTGGTGAATATTTTACCACTCCTTTTTTCATATAGTTTATCAGGCCTTTCTTACTGCAATGTCAAAAAGATGGTGAAATGATGGTGAAGAAAGACTCCGCTGATACAGACTTGTTTTGGATCAAGAGAACTTTATCAGGAAGCCAGTATCAGATCAAGCTTCTGCAGTAGCCTGAGAGAGATTCAGCCAGTAATAGAAACTCTGCCGTTTGTCCCCACAGACTCCACATTTTAAAGCCTGTAAGACATCCTCATCCATATTCATAATATTAGCTCATTTCTGATAGCATAATGAGATACACCTGACCAAAAGTGGTCATTCCCTTCTCCAGTTTCAGGAGGCTCTTTGTCCCTGCAAAACAGACTAATGTATACATTCCTTTAGTTTCTCCACGTAGCTTTCTGGACGTAAATTCTACATGCATAAACACAACATGACAGTTTCCCTTCCTGAAACATAGCTCAAGCTTTTCATAGTCATCCAACTCAAAGAAATAAACATAAAAGGAAGACATTCTATGTAATAATACCCCCTTCTCAGCCTCATTAGCAGGACAATAAAACAAAAAATGAACTTTCTCCTAATTCACACAATAAACAAAATCTGTCCTCTTCTGGACAGTTACTAAACCTATCAGTCTCTAGAGCTACAGGTAACGTTCCTGAACGTAGCTGTGCACAAAGAGATCTTTGTCTTATGTTAGAATTATACCTCACAAAGGGTTCTGTGCTGTAGCTGTTCTTTATGAGACAGTAAGTTCTCAACTTTGGGTTATACCGAATATCAACAGACCATTTCTCTTTATAAGTAAGGAACATTTTACTGCTAATCTCCTGAATATCACAAAATAACCTATTCTGAAAAATAAATGACATATCATTCAAGTAAAATAAGGATTTCAGCTCTTTAACCCAAGGATGACCATGTGAGATACCCCAATTAAATATCTTTTTAGTGAAGCTTTGATCAGACATCTTCACAAGTCTATACCAAAACCAAATCATTTCACATCTATGCCTAATGTTTGGAGGTTTCCATCCCATATCTCCACTAATAGCTAAAACTGAGGTAAGTTTATGAACTCCAAGAAAGGATCAAATAGCTCTATAATGCACAGTGTTACAACTTTTATATTCAAGGAACCCCCAAACACCAGAGGCATAATCTGACACAGGATATACACACATGAATTGTAAAGCTGTGTGTAAGTATCAAATCCCAAACTACCACTGTAATATAGTGAAGTACACACTCTCCTGCAGTTAGTACACATATGTTCCTACTCTGACTGTTGTTGTTGCACTCCTAAATGTACTACAGAGGAACCAAAGTAAACGTTGACTCGAATGATGTGCACTGTCTAGAGTCTCATTTATTAAGTCAGATCAACACCGAAGGTAAAAACACTATAACCACAGTGCTTTACTTTGTTGATTACAGATCCCAATGCTCTACCCGCCAACTGAGCTGAAACACTGACTGCTTCTTTAAATGTCAAGCCAAGATATTTATATTGGTCGGTGTATGTCAGCACTACCGAACCAAGAGTGAAACCAGCTGGCCCGACTCCAGACACTGTTTTTTACTTCGTCAAGGTGATTAAATACGTTTTCACTACTCAGAGGAAATTAGATGTTTTATTTTGAAAAACGGAAGGATGTTCGGCGTCGTCGGCGCCATTTTGACACCATAAACTTCACAGCGGACGGTGGCGGCGGTGCAGAGTGTTTCTGTCGGTGGTCCAGCTGTACTAAGGTGCTTTTTAATAACGAGTACCGGGCACATGACGTCACGAAGCGCCGGTAAACCCGAACAAACGGAATTAAAAACTTTACCGGAGAGTCATCAGTTTGTTTCTGTTGGAGACGTTTGTTTTCTTCACCTTGTGTCCGTGTGGGCGGAGGAAGACACGGATCTCACTGGAACATAACGGTGAGACTAAGTTTCTTTATATTGTGGAACTTTCCAGTCACTTTTTAAAAACTAAACTTGGACTGTACGTTAATTCCGCTGATGTCTGAACTCTGTTGTGATAAAACTGCCGCACAGAAACACGTTGAATCTGACGTTAATGCGGCGCGTTGACGTTGTGGCGGTTTGTGGCGTGTTATCAGAATCAGAAATACTTTACATTTACTGACAGTCATGGCTGAACGTTTAATCACTGTTGGAGTTAATTAGCTCAGATCTGCTATTTAATCTTGTTTCTCACTTTAACCTTGGTGATGTAAACACCGAGATAGCTCTTCTGAAAAGTCCATAAGGAAAAGTCCCCACGATGGTGCGCGCGCAGCAGGGGGCGGGGCTGTGGATTCATCCCAACACCTGATCTCGTATCCACGTCCACCTCGTCCACCTATCCACCTTATTTTTCACGGAAACACGGAGGCAAAACAGAACGCAGCCAGCTTCCGTTTTTTTTGTGCGACACTTCCGGTCCAGCACTCTTTCCACTGTGTAAATGGGAATCCCCTTGTTGTTTACCTTGCTGAGTTTAGCTATATATATGTATATATCATATTTTTCACGTCACTATATCACCGTTTAGAGTAATCTGATGTTTGTAAAGTCTATATACACAATGACTGAACAAACATTAGTATTTTCTCTGTGTGTAATTAATAACATGGTTATTGTAGATTAGCTGGGCTAACCGTTAGCTGTTAGCCGTTAGCCGTGTCTGTAATAACTCACTAAACTCACAAAGTGGCCCGTGAAAAAAATATTTTCTCCAGCGGATGTCTTAGTTACAACG